ATGGAAGGTGGTGATTCCTCCAACCTACCAACTGTGGAGGTGTGATGTCCCTTTATTGCACTTGCTCACTTCCGTTCTATCTTCTGGAGCTCAGTAAAATTACCTTTATGACCACCTGTGCCTCTGCAGTGTGGATCCAGGAAGTGGCACAATCAGGAGGCCTGAGAGCACAGGGTGTGGGAGGGTGATATATGTTGTAGAGGAGCTTGTGTGGCTGGCCAGTCCTCACCGGTCCACTGGATGAAGGCTGGGCTGAGCATTATATATCTTGATTCTCCTTTTATCCTGTCCCCCACCTCTCTACTACCCCTGCTTCTCTTCCTTATTTACAAAAGTTTTATTTCCATTTTCCTTCTATTCTTTTTTCTTGTCCCTTCTTTCCTTTTCTTCTACACCTTCCCTTTTTCCTCTTCTCATTTCAACATTTTCTTCTTATTTCCCAATATCTTTTGTACATAGATTCTCACACCAGAGAAACGATGTTGTATTTAATCAGGTGTGTCCAATTTATTTTATTTCAGAGTATGGTCTCAGGGTGAATCCATTTAGCTAGAAATGTCTCAAGTGTATCCTTTGTGGAAGACTATACTCCACTGAATTAAAAAAAGTCTTCCTTATCCATCTGTCAGTTGATGGGTATTTGGGCCATTTCCAAGATTTAGCTATTACAAACTATGCACTATAAACATGGGTGTGTATATATAGATATGGTATGATGCTTTCAATTCTTTTGGGAAGATACCAAGAAGGGGAATAGCTGGTTTGAACAGAACCTCTAATTTTAGTTTTTTGAGGAATCTCTACACTGATTTCCACATTGGTTGCACCAGTGTACACTCCCACCAGCACTGAAGCAGGGTTCCTCTTTCCCCATAGCCCCGCCAGCATTTGTTATTGGCTGATTTGATAATAGCCATTCTTTTTAGAGTGAGATGGAACCTCAGCATCATTTTAATTTGCACCTCTCAAATGACCAGTGATGTTGAACATTTTTTCATATTTTTCTGCCATTTCTAATTCTTCAACTGCCAAGTGTCTATTCATTTCAGATGCCCAATTTTGTATTGGGTCTTTAAATTTGAGGCATCTGATTATTTTGAGTTCTTTATATATTCTAGATATTTGTCCTTTGTCTGAGGAACAGCTGGCAAAATATTTTCCCACACTGTGAGTTGTTTCTTCATTCTGCTGGTGGTTTCTTTTGCTGTACAAAAGCTTTTTAGTGACATGAGATGTTGATTCTTTGTGATATTTCTGTGCAATCAGGATTTAGTTCATAAAGTCTTTGTCTATACCAACATCTTCAAGAGTTTTATCTCTTGCATCTTCTAGCAGATCTAGTGTTCCTGTTTTAATATTTAGATCTTTGATCCATTTTGATTTTAGGTTAGGGTATGGTGAAAGGTATGGGTCTAGTTTTAGTCTTCGACATGTGGAAAGCCAGTAAATAGTAAATACTAGCTTTACTTGTAAAGCTAGTAAATAGCACTGTTTATTAAAGAGGCTATCTTTCTTCCAGTGAAGGTGTTTGGCTCTTTTGTTAAAGATGAGGTGGCTGAGTGTGTTTGGAGTTCTTTCTGCATCTTCCAATCTGTTGCATTGATCCTCAGAAAGTTTCTCTCAAAGATAGAAAAGAAACTTAATCACAGATTTCCTGGGAATCAAAAAGATTATTTACAGGGTCTGTTGCTGAACCTAATCTGTATCTGTAGTTCATTAAAGAGTAAAATACAGAATTAAGTAAGTTTATACCAAATTATTTCTGGACAGTGATAGTTCCTTCAGCTTGCTGCATTTTCAAACATACAAGGCTTCTGTTCGACTTCATCCTAATATACATAAATGACTAAGCCACACAATTTCTTTGTTTCTGTCCCATGGTAATTTATTTTTGAGCTGTTTTTCAGTACTAAAAGTGTTTATGTATATATACCTGTGTGTGTGTGTGTGTGTGTGTGTGTGTGTGTGATTCAGCTCTTCATTTTTAAATTTCAGTTGCCAAGACTAATTCAGGGTAGCATTTTTTTTCAGATAAGCCCCTGAATCCAAGTAAAAAAAATACCAGCCTATTGGCCTGTATGTAAGCAAGAAGATAAATTGGGTCAGATTATTTCAGTAAATAAATCATGGTAGGAGAATTACATTAACTCTTTTAGATTCCCAAGCCACTGTTCTGAACATTATTACTCTAGCAGACAAAATTTAGTGTCCTTATAGCCACAGTAGGGCCAGGGATGTATCTCAGTGGTAGAACACTTACCTACCTGTGAAAGGAGCTTCCTCAGAAGAAGAGGAGGGAGGGAAGGAAGCAAAGTAAGAGAAGGGAAAGGAGAAATGAATCAATATTCCCTGATTCTTTTTATACCCTTTTGATGTTCTTCAATTTTTCTTCTGATTGCTGTTAGAGTAGTGTCCTCTTTATTAATCTAAAAGCTTTCTCTGGAGTGTTAATGGCTCCAGATAATTGTTATATTCTACTGAATCTAAATTTACATCCCATAACATCTGTTCTCTAAACTTGTGTTTCTAATCGTCTGGATGCCTTACATATATTTTAAATTTAATATGTCTCTTCTCCCCACCCCATATGATCAAACTCTCTCCTCCTCTGTTTATTTTAGTCAGTGGTAGTAATGTATCCTCCATTGTCTAAGCTCTATACCTCTGTCCTCTTTTATTCTTCTTATCTAGTTTCTCACTGTATTAATCAGCTTTTTGTCACTTACCAAGTATCTAAGAAAGTCACCTTAGAGGAGGAAAGATTTATTTTGGTTCATGGTTTCTGTCTCTAGTCAGCTGGGCTCCACTGCTTTTAGGCTTCTGATAAGGCAAAAATGTCATAGTTGGAAGGGCGTGGCAGAGGAAAGCTGCTTAATTCATAGCACCCAAGAAGCAGTGAGCACAAACCAGTCAGAGAAAAGACGCAGCCTTCAAAAGCATGACCCCAGTAGTTTCCACCTCCCATTAGCCCATTCAGCCTTGAACACATCAGTGTATTGATTTATTGAAGAGGTTAGCACGCTCACAATCAAGCCACCTCTATAGGAGTCTCATAATCCAATCAAATTTACAATAAGTTTATTCTAGTCATCGTCATTGCTAATATTTTCGTATTCACCTCTACCTCTACTGCCTTTATATTTGTTGGAACACTTACACTTTTTGTCTGGAAAATTGTAATATTTTCTTAATATTTCCCCTTTCATAAATCCCTTGGAGCAATACCTGGCATAAATTTTTTTATGTTACCAATATGATAGAATGTGCACTTCTCAAAATTTCATGGACCAGGGCCGGGGATTTAGCTTAGTGGTACCGCCACCTGCCTCACAAGTGCAAGGACCCAAGTTTGATCTCTAGTACGAAAAAAAAAATATTCATGGACCATTCCTTATTTCTTCTCTACATTTCATTATCTACCACAATTCACTCTCCTCACCAGCCTCACTGACCTACTTTTTGTTTTACACATAGGCGGTGCTTTTTCATTTCTTTGTGTTTTCCTCGTCTGAGAATGACTATTAGCCCTTTTATTTCTGGAATATTCCTAGTAATCATTCAAGATTTAGACATGAGTGTAGTATATTGCTTGAGCTTTTAGAATCAAATCACTTAGCTCTTACTTGAATACTTACTGTGTGACTCTGGCAAGTCATGTAATCTTTCTCAGCTTATTACTTTTTGCAATCTGTAAATGAGTCTAATAGGACTTTCCCTTATAAGAGTGTTATAACTACTAAATTATTTAATAACATACAATGCTTAAATAGCACTTGCAACAGCATAATCATTTAATAAATATTAACATATTATTCACTTAAATGTCACTATTTCACAAAATGGAATAGAACCAAAAATAATTGACTAGCAAGGATCTTGCCTAAATGCTTTTTTTCTTCTCTCATGCAGACTTCAGTCAGTGGCTTTCTGGAACACTGGGTTGAAAGTATATTGAAGCTGTTTCTGGAATTGGCTGGAAAGTTTAATTACAGTTCTCAAAGGAGAGACAGTAAAGGAACATATCTTATATTTGTAATTCCGAACACAGTTTACTCCCCAGTGTGTGGTTAAAATATTAGGTAGATTATTTTTCCAAGAATTATGGAAGATAATGTAAAGGGGACCATTAAATAAAACCTTGAGTATCAGGCAAAAAGGTTTTGTTATAATCTAAAAGTTAGTACATTTTTCAGTAGGACAGTCATGAGTTGCAAGCAGAAGCACAGTCTACCACTGGTTTGAGAATCACTTCTAAGCAGGAATCAGAACTCCAGTGGTTATCATACTGTATTTACTTGATTCTAAGAAGCATTTTGACACATGCTAATCTTTTTTATATTGAATATGTTATCTTTGTATGTCATTGTGAAACTGGATTAATAGACCTACCTTGTAAGATTGTTATGTAGATTAAATGGTTAATACATATAAGGCACTTGAATCAGTACTGGTATTTAGTAAACACTGCTGTGTTAGCTATTATCGTTATTACTATTATTATATAATTAGCATGTAAGTTTAATGTAGTGTTCTTTTAAAAGGTGGAATCAGTACATTTCTTAGTAATAGGTGACATCTTAGAAAAGTTAGATTACAGACCAGCTGAGAGATAATGAGTGCCTGGGATAGGATGATAGTTGTGAGAATTCAGAAAATATAAATAAGAGAAAGATTTTAAAATAATTGACCTGAGGACATACTGGATATAATGAATTAAGAAAGAACACAACCCACAGGTCACAAACCTGAAAGAATGGGAAATGGGATTGGCTTGGGAAGGAAATTTTACTTAATACATTGAAAGCACTTAAAACAGTACTTTTGCACTTTTGTACATAGAAAGCATTATGTGTATTAGTAGAACTGTTTCAACTGGTTATATATTTAAATTTAATATCAGATAATTTAATAAAATTACCAAAATATGAATAAACTTCACAGGTAATTTGCTAGTAGATGATGATCAAAAAAATAAAGTATGTGTTTTTAATATTTTTCAGTACAAATCAATGAGGAAGAGTTCAAGTGGCAATGAAAATGATGAGGTGAGAAAAAGTAATATTAATAATTATTTGAAATGTTCACTTTTCATGTTTAACTGGCTCGATCAGTGAAATACAATTCATCTTTTGGTGTCATTGTTATGGGTTTAGTGCATGGCTTTCTCTAATAATAAAAATTTCTGGGCATTGTCATACTGTTATTAATCTAATCATATAATTTCTATATGTCTTGTAGAAGAGAATTTCAAATAGATTAGTTTTGGAATTTTATTATCATTTGTCTTAGGCGTATAATCCATGAATTTAAATTTGCTACCTTTTCCCATCTTTTAGCTTCTTAAAACATTGTGGAAGTCAGTGGAGTTTTTTTTTTTTTTTTTTTTTTTTAGGAACTCCTTTTAGAAATTCTTTGCACAAATTCTGTGCAGTATTTTAAAAATTTTAATTACATTCATATAGTTGATATATTACTATAAACTTTTCTGTTGCACCTGGTTAAGCTGTGTAGCAGACTAGCATTGCTGAAATGATACATTCTCATCACAATAAATACCTAAGTTTTGTGTATTTTTTTGGTTGAGGAAATTGGTAGTTAATTTGATATTGGATACTTCGCAGGATTTCTAAAAATGCCTTTATTTTTAGTAAACAAAACCACACAAAAATAATAGAAGTAGATGATTTCTTTTTCTTCAGCTCAAATGCCTATATTTCTCCATGTGCTTTATCCCAGTAGGATTTACTGGAATTAAAAAAAATGACAGTTATGCCAAACCTGGTTGTAGTTTTACTGTTGCTATCTATGGTTAAGCCTGAATAGCATGTTTTGTGTGGGTATGAATTGTAATATTTACCTAGTTTGTGAACACAGTCAATTCCTATATACTTGGCCATAGCTTTCTGTTGTACTAGATCTGCAAATGTTTTCCCCTTAAATATAAGTGTTCCCCAGTGAGAGCCTACTGTATTGTCTCTAGGGTGACTTTATCAGCTTGGCAAGATTTCTGTAAATAACACTTGTGTACCTGCTGCTACCTCTCAATTTTGTTTCTAGTCCAGTCTTCCCCCCAGAGTCTCTGACCCATCTGCTGCTGAAGTAGGGAAGAGTGAGGACACCAGCACACTAACTCTTTAACCTAAAGATAGGAGCAAAAAGTGGCTTTTAATGATGCTGGTGGCTTAGCAAGTGACTCCTGCCAGTCTCAAGAGCTCCAAAGAGAAGTTTGCGCTTCCTATATACCTCTTGTTACATCTGTGAAGCTTAATTCCATTGGAGTTTCCCTGGGAATATAGCAAGCAGGATTTACACACAGCAGAGCAGTGGAGTGGGGAGAGGAAGGAGTTCTGGCAGGACTTTCTGAGTCCGTTACGCTCCTTTGGTGACAGATTACAGAAGTTGTCATGGTACATGCTACAAAGAGCATAGTTACCTAGTTAACCCATAGTTGCCTAATAACACAGTTAACACATAGTTGTCTGATAACACCGTTAACTCATAGTTGTCCACTTCTATATGGAGGGGTGATCTCCTCTCTCACTACCTGCTTAGAATCTCTGCTAAATATATCTCATACACCCACCTAGAGCTTAGTATGTTCATTTGTTTTTTTTAATTTTTACTTCTAAACACTTTTTTTTTCAGTTGGTGCAATGGTTTTCAGCCTTAGCTGCATTTTAAATTTACCTATAAGCTTTAAAGAATACTGGTGCTTGTATCTCAGCCCAGATACTCAGATGAAGTTGGCCCTGGGATAATGTCGAGTGGCCTGGTCAATGAACTGTTTAGAATTTCTTGTGTGAGTTTAATGTGCAGTAAAGGTTGAGATTTGAGTTGGTGGAATCACCATCTGTCATCCCACTAAAGCAGAAATTGGTGAAACCTTCTTGCTGGGTTTGTAAATAAAGTTTTATTGGGAAAGAGCCATGCCAATGATTGCTTTTACATTACAGTTGCAGAGTTGAATAGTTGCCACAGAGACCATATGGACAACAAAACTGAAAATATTTACTCTAGGCTTTTATAGAAAACATTTACTGAATACCAAGCTAGAATTCAACTTGGCTGCTCCTCCTCTTATATTCATTTTTTGTCCTGTCTGCCTCAATATCTTAATATGATTTGTTTATTTACTGGAACTAAAATATTTTGCATACATTCTCTACCTTCCTTTCCATCATTTCTTGCCTGGATTGCTGTGGTAGCTTCTTTGATTTTCTTCTTTTCTCTGGTCCATTTTCACTGTAGCTAGAAAGGTTGTTTCAAGGACCACACATATAAGTGTGGGCCATTTACTTGCTCAGAAATCTTCCATTTCTCCCCATAACTTTAAGGGTAAATTCTGTGTCTCTTTTGATCAAGGCTTTGCTTAGCACATCAGCCTCAACTCACAGGTTTCCATCTTTTCACTGTACTCTCTAAAGAACTGCTCAAAAATTCTTTCTGTCTTCATCTTTCCAGTTATTGCTTTTGTGTCGTTGTTATTATCCTCTCACATCTTTTTCTCATAAACACTCAGTTTTTACTGAGGCTTTGTTTTTTGAGACAGAGTCTCATTACACTGTCCCTCAAACTCCTTGGCTCAAGAAATTCTTCTGCCTCAGCCTCTGGAGTAGCTGAAAGTACAGGCATGCACTACTGCACCCAGCTTTCACTGAGGTTTACTTCCTCAGGAAACTTGCCTTTTTCATACTCCCCTGCTCCTCTCTCCATCGCCTAACATGGCTTTATCTGTGCCTAATAATATGCCATCAGAGAGTGAGAATGTTTTATTATCAGTACACATGGATCTATTTTCCCTCCTGACTAGAAAATTCTTGAAGGAAGACATTTTACTAAATTCCAATACTCCCAGTATCTTGCATAGTGTCTGACATAAAGTGGGTGGCCAATAAGTATTTGTTGAATGAATAATTGTTCAATATCATGTGTGTAAAGAGGTTAAATGTGAAGATTTTTGTATTTGGTTGGCAGTAGAGTAGTCATTCAAAAATTATGGTTCATTTAATGTTTTTTCAAGTTAATTATTTCTAAGTTTATATTAATTTACGTAATTTTTCTGATAAAAGTTCTTATTGGGGGTAATGGAATTTTTGCATCCCTTCACTTACATGTCTCAGATTGTAGCACATCACTGCTATTGTGTATAGATAGTATTTCACAAACTTTAAAATACCCAAAGATCTCTTCAGAATCTTACACAGATTATGATTTTTTGTTGGGACCTGAGATTCTGTATTTCAACAAAGTCCCAGAAGATGTTTATGTTGTTGGTTCACAGATCACATTCTGAGTCCCAGAATGCTAGAAGTATATTTTAGATTCTTTTCTTTAGCAATTGATCAGAACAATTTCAGTTTTCCTTTTACAGTATATGTTTAAATCATTTTCTATTTTAATTTCATCTTTCATCTTTTCATTTTTATATTTTAGCAAGACAGTAACAATGCTAATATGTCACCACAATCTCCAGTATCATCTGAGGTACAAGTTCTGTTTTAATATGTTTTGTATGTTTGTATGTTTATTTATATGTTTTTGTAGGGTTCTTCCTTGCCTCTTTTCTACCATCTTTTTTTTAGTATATGTGCTGCTGCACATACCATCTTTTTTTTTTTAACAAAGTAACTTATTAATTTCAATTGTAGAACCTATGGTAGGTTACAATATACAGATCTTTAATCTATGAAAGATTTTAAGAATACCCTCTTTTTATGTAAATATTCATGATAAATATCCCTTGTTTGTGATTTTCTGTGGAAAGTATCTGTAGATCACAAAACAAATCACTATGAAATATTTGCTTTCTAATTTATCTATACAGTGGAACCTCAGTTCACAAACTCAGTTCTTCCTACAGTTTTGGTCGCAAATCAAACTGGATGAGAACTGAATCAAATTTGCCTGTAAGGTCAACAGTGAACCTAACCATTGAATTTGATTTGATTCTCATCCAACAAGGCTGCTACCAAAATCGTGGAAAGAATCAAGTTCATGAACTGAGGCACCATTGTATTTTAAAATAACTGTTGAATCTTAACAGCTTTAAAGTTTTAATTTGAAAAGGCACTTTAGCATTGTACAGTGGCCTTTGGTTTTCTTGTAACCAGTTAGGTCTGAAAGCAATGCAAAAGAAATTTCCTTTTTCCACGAGAAACATCCCTATAGTGGGTTGTTCCTATCGACAGGAGGTTACACATTTCCTGGCATTTTAGACTTAAGGGACAGTTGACATGGGGAGAACCAGTATATGAAAGTCAGAGTTTGTAAAATTTTGATCAAATACTCTGATTGTTTAAATGACTGATTTTTCTAATTTACTTTAACCTCTGGCTTTGCAACAAAAGATTTAAATGTAAAACACTCTAAACAGTACCTCTTCGATTTTAGATTCCTTATTTAGTATTATAAAGTATACTGGCATTAATGAATAAATTGTGCATTAATTTGATGAATTCAGCACTTTCCTAAATGTTTAGATGACCCAAATTCACTGTATAACTTGGGTTATGTAGATAATATTTTACTATATGTTAAATGTCATTACTTTCTTAGAGTTCTTTCTCATTATTTTGTGATTTGCTTTATAAATATTTATATAGATTTATCGGGCATGAGTTTTCTAAATTATTTACCTGGAAGGTAAAATATTATACATGCTTTTAGAAAATAATTTAAATTAGGATATCCTAAAATTAATCTTGGTCACAGTTTCTGTAAATCCTTTAAGTTATAACAAGGATAAATATATAAGTGACTACTACTTGTTTTGCTAGTTCTTTTACAATTTTTACAGTTTATATTTATAGAGGAAAGTATTAGTGCCAATTTTCTCAGATAATTTATGTTGCTTTTATAATATATTTGTGCTTGCATTCAGATAAGTAAAATTTTTGTATAGAAATTTGTAACTAACCAAAAAAATGAAAACAAACTGTAAGGCTGTGAGTGGATAGGGTGATGAGCATGTGTTTTTGTAGTTCAGCTAGCATCCAACTTGAACTTTAGCAGTAGAAGATTCAGATGTTCCAGAATTGATTGCTTCAATTTGATGTGAAAAAAATGGTAAAACCAATTAGTATAGTACTTCAACAATTTTCCTGCCCTTAGATTTGTACCTAAAAGTCATCCCGTGACTAAGTTTCGTCTTCATCATTTTACAGCTGAAGCAGCAGATAACTCTCCCAAAGAGCCCAATCAACCAATAGAAGCAGAGAATTGACTACAGCCTAGGTCCTACCTACTTAATAGAGTTATTTCACAGATTAAATAAGATGCTGCTTGGATTACATTATTTTATCATTTTGTGGTTCACAAAGAACTTTCATATAATTACTTCATTTAATGTTCTCAGTAATCCCAGTTGAAAGGTGAAGAATCAATTGCAGAAAAAGTAAAGGCTCAAGATAGAGCCTAAGCTTTCTGACTCTTAAATTCAGGCTTGTTTCAAATGACACATAACCTTCTGTAGCACACCACAATGTGAGAAAGGACTTTGAAACAAGGACTTTGAAATAATATATCGTGGTGTATTATTCTATAATCCCTTTTAATATAAATATGTAAATTGGCCTTGGATTATCTACGAATAAAGATACTTGACTTGAAACAGTTAAGTATCAAGTTAATAGTAGATACAAAATAAGTGTTAGTAAATTTATAAATCTTTGGGTACAATGTACTGTACTTCATTACTTTGGAGACTTTAATCTTTTTAAATCTATTTTATATACTTTGGTAATGATCTTTTCATTTTCATCATCCTATGAGAACAAAGTATTTAAAGGCATAGTCTGGTCAATTAGCAAATACTTGTTGACTTTTTTTTTTTTTAAAGACAAAGTCTCCCTATGTAGCTCAGGCTGGCCTTGAACTCATGGTGATCTGCCTCAGCCTCCCAAGTGCTGGAATTAAACATCTGCACCACCACAGCTGGCTTATGTATTGACTTTTTAAAAGTGACATGTTATTAATTTGAATTGAAATGTAGCTGCCTTTCTCTTTTCCATTAATCATAGAAAAAAAAGTAATTAGGGGCTGGGGATTTAGCTCAGCGGTTCAGTGACCTGCCTTGCAAGTGCAAGAACCAGAGTTCAATCCCCAGTACCAAAAAAAAAAAAAAGAAAAACGAAAGAAAGGTAATTCTCAAAATTGGGACAGATATGAATATATACCTTGATTATTTTGAATGAAGAGATTTATTTTCTGATTTTAGGAATATGACAGAACTGATGGTTTTTCACATGGTCCCTTTGGATTGAAGCCTAGATCAGGTAAATACATATTTTTGAATAAAATGTGTTTTTATCTAAAACTGGAATTTCCCAGTTTAAATGCCATAATTTCACGGTTTTTAAGTACACAGTTTCTTTCCCTTCTCCTAAAAATAACTTTCCACTAACCTTGTCTTTCCAATTCCCATTTCCATTATTTTCTTCCTCTTTACCGTTGAGCTCCTAAAACCTTACCTTTTGGCCTTAGATATACTGAAGTCGTATTTCTATTCTTCTGTGATTGCTTTTAGAATGAGTACTCTGCCAGCAGACCAAACACTGTTTGAAATTGTAGATCTCCATTACTTTGTGGTTTTAAATAAGTGTCTTTTCAAACTTGGAATGCCCAGAGGAAAATGGATCCATGTTCCTTGGCAAGATATTGAATTACAGTTTTTTATCAAATAACTATATTGACCTTCAAGAATAATTTTTTTTCTTTAAAATAAATGGCTGACATGTTCAATAATCACTTTGTACCTGGGTCATGAATTTCTAATACCATATGTTTAAGAACATGTGTAGGTGGTAGAAATCATTACACTTGTGCTCCCTATTGCTTTCAATTATGTAGAATTCAAACATATATTAGAAAAATATTTAGGCTGTATTAATAAGTATTAGTGGTTTATGTAATTTGTACCGATTCTATCATTTCTTTCCCCATCAATGCCTTTTCCTTTTATTAGCTTTGTAACAAGTTTGGAAATTTCTGTTTTTATAAAGCTTTTAGCCGCTCATCTCGCCAAGAATATGGGGCAGCAGATCCAGGATTTACAATGAGAAGAAAGATGGAACATTTACGAGAAGAGCGAGAGCAAATACGACAACTTCGTAATGTAAGTCAGATTAACCTTTCAGATCAGCTTTCTAGAAATTGCTTTAGCTTAGAAAACTGATAAGGTACAATGGTTTTTTTCATTGCTCTTTACAATTTTTAGATCATATAACCATTAGTAGTATAAATATATGACATATGTTTAAATAGAGTATTTGCGATTTATACTCATTTTTTCTTTATAGAATCTTGAATCCAGGTTAAAAGTAATTTTGCCTGATGACATTGGAGCTGCACTGATGGATGGTGTTGTTCTTTGCCATTTAGCCAATCACATAAGGCCATGCTCTGTAGCTAGTATTCATGTTCCATCGCCAGCAGTGGTGAGTTATGTCTATAGTTTGTCTATTCTACAAAGGAAAATATAGCTTATTAAAATGTTAAATAGCTGGGCATGGTGGCCCATACCTATAATCCCAGTACTCGGGTTGCTGAGGCAGGAGGATCGCTGTGAGTTCAAGTCCAGCCTGGACTACATAGTGAGTTCCAGGTCAGTCTCAACTACATAGTAAGACCCTGTCTCAAAAAACCAAAACAATAAATAAATAAAATAAATAAATGTTAAATAATATACTTCAATAAATTCACTTTTAATTAATTTCTGTATAAAAATGCTTGAAATGCATCTTTTCCCTCTTGTACTTTACAGCCAAAGCTGAGCATGGCAAAATGTCGAAGAAATGTAGAAAATTTTCTTGATGCTTGTAAAAAGCTTGGTGTCTCACAGGTAATTATTTACCTAACAAAATGGTCATTTAAATATTAATTTGTTACATGAAAGCTAGAGTGTTCTCAATAGCAATGAATAATATTTTCCAAATATGAAAATTAATAGTTTCTCTTGGTACCCTCTAGTAAGCTTCAGCTATCTATTAAATGTTTGAGGCTGCTTTAAATTCATTTCTAAAACAGCTACCTGTATGGAATAAATTAGTAGCCATACTGTAGTTTGGTTGTGATGCCATTACTCCTATCATGTTTTTCTATTGGAAGGATGGTATTAAATTCCTTTGTAAATTCGTGGATAGACTCTGAGTGGCAGATGAGAGTGCACCAGATTAACAGCATTTTAAAATGTAATGAAAATGTCAAATTGGAAATCTTAGTAGCATATTATAATATCTGCAATTGACAACTGAAATTTGTAAGAATTGGCTTATGATTCACATGAAAATTGTAGTATTATAAAATTAACAATTAAAAAATTAATGATTAGAGTAGTACTATAAATAGAAAATTTGGGAAAGTTTGTTTTTCTTAGCTATTTTGATGTTATACGTGCCTTGCCATTTCTATTTTAGGAGTTTTATTTTTAGTTTTGACATGTTTTTCCATAAATTTAAAAGGAGTAATATACAGTACTTTTCTATTTAATTATTTTTGTTCTAGGATATTTTCTAATTTGTAACAGATTTATTTAGGTATAATTGAAATACAGTAAAATGCACAATTTGGATTTTGGGGGGTTCTGGGACTTGAACCTAGGGCTTCATACATGTCAGGCCCGCGCTCTACCGCTGATCCATATCTCTACCCCTGCTAAGTCTTAATACATGCATAGATCATGAAATCATCACCACAATCAAAGTAATGAACATATCCATTATTCCCCATGGTTTCTTACTGTCCTGCAATTCTTTCTTTTCCAGGCACCTACTAATCTGCTTTCTGTCATTATAGATTAGTTTGCATATAGTTGAGTTTCATAGAAGTAAAATGATATATTCCACATTTAGATTCCTTTGTAAATTTGTAGATAGACTGCCTGGAATATTAGGCTGTATCAGAGTAATAGCATTTCAAAACTTTATTGAAAACACCTAATGGAAATCTTAGTAGCATAATATCTGAAACATCAAAATTGACTTTTTTTTACTTTCACTTGGAATAATTATTTTAAGATTAGTTTGTGTTGCTACCTGTATAAATAGAAATTCCTTTTTTATGTGAAATATCCCACAATTCATTGTTCATTTGACCTTTGATAGACACTTCAGAGGTTTCCAGCTTTAGGGACTACTAAAAATAAAGCTGCTATGCACAAGTCTTTGTATGGATATATTCTTTAATTTTGAGTAAATGCTTAGCTATGGAAAAACAGGAATTTATAATAGGTACATGCCTAACATTTTAAGAAAGTACAAAATTCTTATCCAAAATAATTGTATTATTTCAAATTACTATTACTATCAGTAGTATATGAGAGTTCATTTTATCTACCTCCTCACTACTTCAGTATAGTCAGTCTTTTTAAATGTTTAGTTATTATAATAGATATATATTGGCTTGCTAAGGTAGCTTTAATTTGCATATCCCTGCCGATTAATGACATCGATCATCTTTCCAAAGGGTTACTTTTTCCCAAGGGCTTGCTTTCCATCTGCATATCTCCTTTTTTGAAGTAAACTTTCTAATCTTCTATATTTTAATTGGGTCATTTGTTTTCTTAGGATTAAGTTTGAGATTTCTTCGTAAGTTGTGGATAAATTTCTTTATGAGGTGTTTTATTCACAGATATTGTATCCCACTTTTTGGATTGTCTTTTTATTCTTTTTAGATTGTCTTTCAAAGAGCTACAGTTAAAGTTTTTGACATATAATTTGTTGATTTTTTAATGGGTTTTCTTTTGTGTCAAACTCAAGGTCACAGATTTTTGTGTGTTTACTTCTAGAAGTTTTATAATATTGGGTTTTACATCTATCTCTATTATCAATTTTGAGTTAATTTTTGTATATGGTGAAAGGTACAGGTCTGGTTGTTTTTAGCCTGGGATTTAGCACATGAATTTATTTTTTTCAATCATCTTTATTGAAATATAATTAATATTTCATAATATTCACTTATTTAAATTGTATAATTAAGTGGCTTTTAATATAGTGACAGGGTTGGGCAACAATCACAATAATCTTTAAGAACAGAATATTTTGTTTGCCTAGAAAGAAATCTCTTGTCCATTGGTGGTCCTTTCCATATTCAGTCTCTGTGAATTTTCTTATTCTGAACCTTACATATAATGAAGTCATATAATACGAAGTCTTCTGTCTGCTTCTTTCACATAGAGTTACTGTTTTCAAGGTTCTTCCATGTTGTAGCATAAATCTGCAATTCATTTCTTATTATAGCTAAGTGATTATTCCATCGTATGTGTATAGCACATTTTATCTGTTTATCAGTGGGTAGACATTTGGTTTATTTCCATTCATTGTTTATTATTAATAATGCTGCTGTGAACATTTGTGAATAAGATTTTTTTCTTGGTTTTTTTTTTTTTTTTTTTTTTTTTT